TTCAGGCAGAACAGATTGGGGAACTCTGAAAAATTCAGGCCTTGCCTAGCAGCCCATGGGGTAGGATGGAGGGGTCGTCCCTGTGCATGTGTAGAAGTCCCAGTTGGCAGCGTCCCTTAGAGGGAAAGGCGCCTGCTGAGGGGGGGCTTCTGCCCCTGATGAGCTCCAGCTGGGACTGTGACCTCCTCTCTGCTCACACCTTGCTGTGAGCCCAGACCAGTGACTTGGCCCTCTGTGCTGCTGTCCAGTCAGCCACAGCAGGGCACGTACCATCCCGCATGGTCAGGGGAGACCAAGTAAGCACCCTGCCAGGCTCTGCATGCCAGCTCCCCCGTGTGTGTGACTGGCGTGTCAGAGCCCTCGAGTGTCCCAACCTGAAGGAATCTGAGTGATGGTCCAGGCCAGGGTCTCAGCTCCTCCTCCAGTGACCACACCTGCATTTTGCTCCATTCAGCCCCTCGCAGAGGGTGTTTAGCACCAACCCCTGCGCCCTGGCCCAGGCTCTGGCCTGGCTGCCGTGGAACGGCACCTGCAGCCTCTGTGTGCCTTGCCTGGCAGCAGCAGGACCAGCAACACCCATGAATGCCCATGCTGGGTCCACTGACCACACTGAGCAGCAGGATGGAGCCCCATAGCCTACAATGCCAGGCTGTACCCCAGACCAACTAAATGCAAATCTTAGGGGTGGGGGCCGGCACTGGGAGGGAGTGGCGTAATTGCCCTGGGGGTCCAGTGAGCATCCCTGTTTGAGAGCCTTTGTTCCAGGACTCCCCAGAGCTAACTGAGATCCAGCCCAAGTCAGACCCCAGCACCTGCTCTGTAGCAGAGAATCCACGCCTGCTCAGGGATGTTTGGGAATTGAATTTCCATCCTCACCGCAACAAGCGCTGTCAGGTCAGCCACGGGGTTTGAGCAAATGGTCCTGAGCTGGGAGCCAGAAGAGCAGCCCCTACACTTCCCTGAGCCTCCGCCCCTCCTGTCTGTGACACTGGGTCTTTGCAGTCCAGAGATTTAAGGAACTTCCGCAAAGCACTTGGACTACCTCCTGGCACATAGTGAAGTGCTTAGTGAATGATGTTACTACGTTTCTTCCCTGTTTGACACCCCCATTTTATAGTCAAGTCAGCTGGGCTCAGAGAGGTGGAGGCACGTTCCAGAGACCAGCAGCAAGCCAGCAACAGAGCTGTAAGACTGACCTGGGCTCCTGAATCCCAGCACTCTACTCCTTCCTGCGCCTGCCCCGCTTGTATGGCTGCCCTTCCCCCACCTGGTTCTCAGTCTGGAGGCTTTGTTTGCATATTTGGATAGAAGAGGCTTCCCTGGAGAGCTCGGGGTGTGTCACTCCTTCCTGGAAGTGGTCCCTGCAGCCCCCACAGGGAATTTCAGCACCCTCTCAGGCTTGGCCTCTCTCAGCCCAGGCTCCCACACCCTCTACCTCTTCCCTGCCTCCAGCAAAAGTACGGAACATCCTGTGTTGACTCTAAAGGAATGCTTTTGGAATTTATACAGGGAGCCCTCCTGCCATGGCAAGAGAAGGAGGCACAAGGAGGGATGAGGGTAGGCACCAGCGTGTCCTGGTGGCTTGTTGTGGCCAGCGGGGGACCTGAAGGAGAGGACCCTGGCAGCTTTGAAGCCACAGCTCCTCCCTTCCTTAGACCAGGGCCTCTGCACCCCACCTCCAGTTCCCCTCCTGCTCTTCTCTTGAACGCACACTCCTGCGTTTGTCTCCGCTAGGCACTGGAAGCCAGAGTCCGGCCCCCTTACTGCCTTCTGAGTACCCCCTGAAACAGTCTTTGCCTCTGCACGCTACACAGTCAGTAAACTCTGCACATAAAGATCCTTGTTTCACTCATGGCAACCTCCACAGGCAAAGCACCTGGCACCCAGTAGCCACAACGTTCCTCCAGCACCGTAACATGTAACCACTGCCTTCTGGGAGCCGGTCAGTGTTGTGGCTGCTGGGGACACATCAGAGACAAAGCAGCTCTCCATCCTCCCGGAGCCTATCAGACAGGCAGTAAGCCACCGAGCACACGCAGAGCATGTCGGTCGTGACGAAGCACCATCCGGAAACTGAACCAAACCAGAGATGGGGCGTCCAGGCAGGGGCTTTGCAGCTGTAAACACACTGGTTGGGCTTGCGGAGAAAGAGGCATTTGGGAGAAATTTGGAAGGAGGGGTGAGCCACATTAGCGTCTGGGGGAAGACTGCGTGTTCCCCGCAGAGGGAACAGCCTGTGTCACCTCCCTGATCAGGAACAGACCCAGGACACAGAACTGGGTGCACGACAGAACAAATGTGTCCTTGATGCCAGCGGAGGCTGAACCCTGTCTGTCCGCTGCCTTCAGACCATCCGGGGATTCTGATGCTTGGAAGTTATAATCCAAAGGAGATGCTGCTCTGCTGGTCACTGCTTCTGAGCGCTGGTTAGGAGCAGGTGTGGCCCAGGAGTTGTAGCTGTGCCCTCTGCACCATCCCGCCCCATGGGTACATCTTGGGGGTGCACTGATGGTGTGTGAGGTGCCCTTGAGTCCTCAAAGCCCACAATGTTTTGGTCCATGCAGGCCAGTGGAGGGCAGGCAGCGGGCACATCCTGCAAGTGGACGCACTGTCCCGGGCAAGGTCTGTGGGAGCTCAGGAGCAGGCCCCACCCAGCCCCACCTCCATTTCTGTGACCTTCACTGGCTGTGCAGAAAAATCTTAGATGTATAATGCTGTGTGTCCTGCTTTCTAAAAACAGCTACCACTGAGTTCGTTCCACCCCTTCTTGATTTGTTAGTTTAAGGATTATGAGTTCACGCATTTTACCAGCTGTCCCTGAAGGATGTCTGTAGGTTCCCATTAAGTTCGTCTTCTCACTTTCACACTAAACGGGTGCAGATTTCTTGGTGGAAGAAAGCCTTCCAGTGGGGGATCTTGCAGAGGCTGGAATTGTGCATTTCTCCGCTCCTTAATTTGTGAGGGTCTGCTGTTCATTCACTCATATTAGGTGCTCAGGATGCAGTGATGAGCTGAACCCAACCAAGTTCTGCCATCCCAGACCACGTGGTCTCCTGGGGAGACCCACGTCCATCCTGTTGTCACAAGTCCCCGGTGGACTGCACCTAAGGGGCTTGAGCTACTGCATCTAAGTGTACCACTTCTGACCAAGTGCCACCCCACATCAAGAGGGCGGTCGGGGAAGTGTCCTGCCTCTGGCTGTAAACCTGGAGACCAGCCAAGCACATGGGTCTGATCTGGGTGTAAAGTAAGGGCAGTACGCACCAAGCATGCAGCAGAAGGCTCAGGTTTAGTGTGGCTCTGGGCTCCCCCAGAATCATCTGCAGCCCGAGGTACCTTTCTTGGTGCCAGCATTCAGTGAACTTGGAATCGGTGGGCCTCAGCCAGGGAGAGGCCAGATCTCCTGCTGGGTTCTTGGCTGTTCTCCTGGATTGTGAAGGTTCAGGGGCTTCTGGCTAAGTGAGGGCTGGCATGCTGAAAACCACCTGCAGGTATCTCAGTGGCCACCATAGCCCACAGGGGCCAGCCCATGACAACCGTATGTACCCATGCTGGCAGATGAGCAGCTGCTCCTAATCATGTGTGTGGGGGAGGGGGCATTGCTGAGTGCACAGCAAGGAGTCTGTGCACCTGAGACGCTGGGTCTGCCATGCCTGGGTGGTGAGCTGGTCCTAGGAGCCATTCGTGGTCCTGTCAGTGTTCTGCTGCAGGGGCGCCAGTGAGGGTGCAGACCATCTTATCTGTCTGTTTCAGACTTCCTCTTTCTTCCTCCACTCCTCCACCTCCTGCATTGTTGTGCCACACACTGCCCGTGGGCACCCCAGCTCAGGCAGTCTTTGTACGTACACCCAGGTGGCATTTCCTGTGCCGGCTGTGAGCCATATCCAGTCCAGCCCTCAAGGACCCTCTGATCGGGTGGTGGAGATAGACAGTGAGAAAGTGGACAGCTCAGCCAGCGAGGGGTTGCTGTGAGTGAAAGGTCCAGAAAGAACAGAAGGGGAAAAACCAAGAGAGTGACGGGCTAGAGAGGAACGGGGGCCAAGGCAGGGGGCAAGTGAGGGAGGTGGAGAGGTGTCTTGGGGAGGGGACGCTGGCTGAGGGAGAAAGCGTGGGAAGAGGTGGCAGGGCTGGGCCAAGCCAGGCTAGGGCACCAAGGTCTGCAGAGCCTGGCCTGGCTGAGAGACAGGCCCAGTCCATAGGAGGAGGGGAATCCCAGGGCAAGGAGCACACTCTCTCCATGCACCCGTCTGTAAAGTAAGGGTGGTCACTGTCTGCCTTGGTGGGTGTATGAAGAGGAAGATAGTCAGTGTCTGTAAAATACTTAGCTCTGTGCTGGGCACGCAGTGAGTGCCTTGTGATTCCTACTCAACCAGTATTTGTTTCTGTTATGCTAAGCTGAGGTACAGCAGCCAACAGGCTCAGGAGGAGGGAGGGCGACAAGTCAGTGTTGCAGGGAGGGTGGGGAGCCTGCGGGAGGGACGCTTCACCTGGAGTTAGAGAAGGAAGGCTTTCTTAAATAGACTTTTAAAAGCTTTCCTGAAACAAATCCCGTTTAATGGGATGTCAGTAGAAATAGGGCCAAACTGCTTCCAGAGATCCTGGGTTCTCGTCTCTGCTGGGAATCACGTCACCCCTGACGTCACCACGTCACATTCCAGTGCCTGACACGAGAGGCCTGGCACGGCTGTGGCGTGGGCCTTCATGGTGTGAAGGAACCCGCTCCCTCCAGTCCCCAGGCAGGCATATTTGTGCCTCAGCAACCGTGACGTGGGGAGCCAATCTGAGGGCGTTAAAGCTGTGCTCTTCACACGGCCTGCCCTCACTCTGGCTCCCCTGCATGTCCCCTGGGGTCACCAGGGCGACCTGGCCTCCAGGTGTCCAGCAAATGCCATCTTGCTCAAGCCTTGGAGGTGGTAGCCAGCACTAAAGACACCCCACCCTCTGGCAACGTCGGGGACGCAGGCTGCACTCCTGATGGTGTCTCATTGCTTCCTGTGCAGCTATAGCCTCCGCCTGGCGTCCCGATGCCCTCCGCCAGCCGCCCCGTACATCACCAGGCAGTGCAGGAAGGCCAAGGCCCCGGCTGCAACCCAGTACCAGGGACCCTTCCTCAAGGAGTAGACGCTTCGCCTGCTCCCTGACAGGTAGGAGGCAGGACATGGCCGCTGTGTCACCGTCGGGTGGCTCTTGAGGCCAAGGGGACTGGGCAAGGGTCTGGGTGGGAGGGAAAGACATGATTGGGTGGGAGGAATGCTGGGCCATGGCCAGGTTCGTGGCCTCTGTACAGGAGGGCACTTCATGGCCACGAGTGTAGAATCTGTTCCATCAATGTTCAAACCCAGCTCTGCCACTCACCGGCTGAAGGAAGTCAAGTGACTCCCCTCCTCTCTCTGAGCCGCAGTTTCTACCTCTGTAAAATGGGACTGCAATAGTGCCTACTTCATAGGATGCTTGTGGCAACTACCGGTGTCAGATGTATGCTGAGCACTTAACCCAGTGTCTGGCACATACCAGTACTAGGGAAGTACTAGCTATCACTGTTATAATAATAATAATGATATTAATAATAATAATAATTAGGGCTTATGCCCAGTACTCAGTTGATGCTTTCAGAGGCTCTAAGCCCAGAAAAGATTATGGAGTTTCTATTCCTATGATATATTTCAAAGTGAAAATAATAGTAATCCATACAATTAAAAATTTAGATTTATGGTGAACTCCAATGGTCTCTGTCCAGGTTTTCTGAAGGTAAAAACCTGGAAGCCAGGCTTTTCTCTATGGGTCTCTGGGCTTTGGCAGTGCCCCACACGCAGGCTGGGCTCCCTGTTGGTGAACTGCATTCACTGTGTCCTCAAGGTCCACATCCAGAGCACCCCAGGCATCAGAAGAACTGGGGAGCGTTACAGACACAGACCCAGGGCCGCCCCAGATCAGGCCCGCGCTGCTGGGGCACTAGCGCTGGGAGGAGCCTACTTCACCCACAGGGCCAGACCACTAGCCGGGGGGCCTGGCAGGAGAATGTAGTGTTGTTTGAGGCAAACTAGGCTGGGTTTTGAAACTCCGGGGTCTTTGGTGTTATAGAGATCCTTCCTCCTCCTGCTGCCTTCCCACCCCTCACCTCCTTTCTCCCTCCTTCAAGCAGCTGGGTGTCTGGGCTTGGTCTTATTCCTTTGAGGGTTGGGGAATGATGAAAATACAGCCCTTTTCCCCAGAATGAGCCTGTGTCAATGGACAGGAGAGATGACCCTGACCTTGACCCTGGGGAGTAGGGTGGAACTGGACTCTAACTAGCAGGGAGCTGGGAGATCCCAGAGGTGAACCCTCCCGTGTACCCACTGTACAGATGGAAGATCAGAGGCCCAGGGAAGCTCAGCTTAGTTGGCGTCTTCTGGAAAACGGGAGGCAGTGGCAGGATGAGCACCTCTCTCGTGGTGATGGCCACTACGTGAGCCCTGAGCTGCTGACATGCAGAGCGAGGCTGCCACCCCCATCAGGATTATCCGCACCCTGAGGAGGAGCCAGGTGCTACCCCACTGGCTTCCTGAACACAGGACCACTGCAGTCCCAGCGATGAGGATGCCACCTTTTCCAAAATATTTTCAAGCATGTGTGGCATCCCAGGCTAACTGCGCAAATGAATAGAGGCCGAATTTAATCTGTGTGCAGCTCCCAGCCTCTATTCGCTCACCAACAAGGCTCCAAACACAGCGGTTTAATTGCTAAGTGACTGCCACTTGTGCCTTGAAATCTTATTTAACTTTTTCTGTTTTTAAAATGTGTGCCCACACCAAGCCACCTAGCTTGGGCTACTTACTTTATTTTATCTCACTGTTTGAGTATGCTCAGGCTGCTATAATAGAATACCGTGCAGTGGGCGGCTTAAATAACGGACTTCTATTTCCTCACCATTCTCCACGCTGGAAATGCAAGACCTGGGTGCTGGCTTCGTTGGCCTCAGAGGGGGGCCCTCTTTCAGGTTTGTAGGGGGCCACCTGTCACTGTATCCTCACTTTGAAGGGGTGGGTAGAGGGCGCCCACCCTCACCAATCCCACCCCAGGCTCCTACCCACAAGACCTCATCAAGCCCCAATGTCTTCCCTAAGGCCTGTCTCCTAATACCACACTGAGGGTCAGGGATTCAACCTAACATGAACTTTAGAGGGACACCGTTCTGTCCATAGCATAGTTTAACACAACACAGAATGATTTTTCAAAATCTGCAGCAAAGAGTTTTAGCCTGGGAAGGTATGTGCAGGTCAACACTATCATTTCAGGAGGGAAACTGAGGTACAGGAGTTGGAGGCAGAACTGGCATCAGAACTCTGGACAGTGGTCTTCAGGTGGGCTGTGACCTGTGATGCAAAGCTCTGTGTGCCCGATGGTGGAGGGCACTCTCAAAGGAGCCCGGACCCCAGCTGCTCTCCTCTGTTCCCCCTGGGATTCAAGGCCCTGCCCAGGGGATCAGGCAGCTTGAACCTAGTGGGGCACAGCACCAGGAGCTGCTCCTCTCCGTCCCTGCCTCCAGGCACCTTGCTGCCCCTCCCTTTGCTGGTTGCAGGCTCAGCCTGCCAGCTTTCTGCCCACCTCCGGGGGGAAGGCAGTGCCCACTGCCCAGGCTAGCAGAGACTCCCGCTGTGTGTTGTGTCTTCCTCTTCTCTTTCCCTCTCTCAGCCAGCACACTTCTTCCCGGGGGGGCTAAGAGGGCAGGTCCAGGGAAGGGGCCCATGCCTCTGGCCACTGTCGCAGCCGCCTCTCAGCTGTTGCTGCTCCTTGGCTAAGCCTGGTGATCCTGGAGCCTTCTGTGGGGCAGGCTCCCGATGCTGACCATCGTACTGGGAGAATGTTGAGCTCCTCGACTCCTCGTCTCCTGATAGACCAGCTCCTGGGGCGGCCTGTTCCCTCCCAGCGCAACCCCCGGTGTCAGTGCATCCACAGCCCCTGCTGCAGAGGCCCCTCCAAGGGTGGGGCATGGCAAGAGGGTTTCTTTTATGGAACCTGGTCAACCCATTGGAAACCCACTCTCACTGACTGTGCCAGGCCAACTCAGCTAGCCTCTGTGTGTGTGTGTGTGTGTGTGTGTGTGTGTGTGTGTGTGTGTGGTACCAAGGTGTGAACCCAGGGTCTTTACCCTAAACTACATTCCAAGCCCTTTTTAAATTTATTAGTTTGAGACAGGGTCTCACTAAGTCATTCAGTTGCCCCAGCTCAGCTCCAGCTTTCCATCTTCCTGCCTCAGCTTCCCACAGTGCTGGGATTACAGATGGGCCCCACCATGTCCCTTTTGAGCAGCCGCTCCCCATCACCTTTGACCTCAGAGGATGGAGGTGGGGGATGGGGGCTTGGGGCCGGCCTGTCTGGGTTTAGGTTCCGTCCCTCATTTACCAGCTGCACCAGCCCAGGCAAGTCAACTTCTCAGTGACCCGGATGCCTTCTCCATCCATGGGCACAGCGGCAGCCCACCCTTGTAGGAAACTGCGCCACCTAGGACAAGGCCAGGGTGCGCTTAGAACCTGCCCTGCGTGGAGAAAGTGCTCAGGGTGTGAGCTACACTGGTCCCCACTATGGGACCCCATATAGAGACATGGAAAACCCCAACAGTGCCTCCCCACCCAGAGACGCCCACGGAAAGCCCCCAGAGGTGGCTGCGTGCTTGATGAGGACCCGATGGTCAGAGGCTGCTTACTTCAGCCCCGAGCCACGAGCCAGAGATTGCTTCCAGAGCCGGTGGCCCTCCCCTCCCCTCCCCTCCCCTCCCCTCCCACTCTCCCGTCCCCTCCTCCCCACCCACTCTGCCTTCCTTTCTTCCCCCCTCCAGCCAGGGCACAGGTCTTTGGGCCTGGCTGCCACCTAATCCACACCCATGGGCCAGGGAGCTCCCTGTCAAAGCACCCCCAGTACCATCACAGGCAGCCTTCCCAGCCTGACCTTGGCGTTGGGGGAGTTGGGTGGAGAGGTGACCTGTGCAGTCTCTGCAGCTGAGTCCTGACTCCAGGCTCGTCCTTGGCCCTTGCAGCGGTCCCTCATGTTCCTGCTTCGGGTCCCCTACCTGTCAAAGGGCTGGTCATGGCTGGATATGTCCTGGCATCACATAGAAAATCTGGAGAAGCGTCGAGGGCAGTTCTGCTTTGTGTAAACCCAAACCACTATTACTGTTATTATTGAATCATTGTACTGTTACTGGCAGTGGTAATAGCAGCAGTAGTAGTAGCTATTAGAAGAAGGCATAGTAATGGTGACCAGGTCCTCTGGGTGACAGACTCATGTCTGAACCTGGCCCAGCCCAGTTGAAGGTTGTGCTCAGCAAGTGCGTTCCACGAAGCGGGAGGGCGCAGGCACTGCCTCCCACCTGTCCAGAACACCGGGTCCACCTGTGCCTGTCACCGTCACTCTGACCTGATAAAAATTCTCGCTCACCTGCCACTTCATGGAAAGTGGGGCCGATGCTACCCGCCACAGGAGCTGCTGTGAGGTAACAAATGAATTAACAGGAAGAGCAGCCACGGAAAATCATGCAACAAAACCCACTGGAACTGAACACAGGGATTCCTTGGGCCCCCGCAGTTCTGCTGCCAGGACTGCCCCAGTCGGACTTGTGCACCAGGAAGCAGACAGAAGGATGTTTGTGCAGTACATATGCACACCCTGCCACCCCATTTCTGCTCACCAGAAACAAGTGCATGCATGGGCGTACGTGTCTTCCTAGAAGAGTGAGTGTCTTGGCAGCATTACTCCTGGCGCCAGTTGCCATCAGTTGGGACTAGAGGGATCTATGTGGCCTGGGGCTCAGCCTCAGGCCACAGACGTGCTAGGCAGAAATATTTGAATTTAAAAAACGGGCAAAGCCAACCTCAGGTGATGGAGATGAGGATAACTGTTGCTCGAGGTAGAAGAGGAACAGTGGTTATCCTGAAGTGGGTGTGGGTCTGGGCCAGCGGGGCTCCTGCTCGTGTTTCTTCATCAGGTACTGGTTTTGCTGATGTGTTCATTGCAAATCCATCAGGCTGTGCTTTTTTCTGTGTGCATGATGTACATTAGTCAATAGTTCAGTTTTTAAAATGAAGTGAGATAATGCACAGCCAGTACTTGAACTACTGGCGCTGAGTATGTGATCATCCTGCTTCTCTCACTTTTCTTTTTCTCCCCAGCACCTGAAGTGACCTGGAATCAGTGAAGCCAAAGGGACTGGCAGGCTGCCCTGCAGGGAGCACCGACCCATCCCAGCTGCGTGAGCCCTCGAGAGAAAGGGAGCGTGCGTGCGTGCATGCGTGCGTGTGCGTCCATGCGTGCAGGTGCATGCACCTGGTCCTCAGACACAGGCCCAGAACCCCGGGGAGGCAGGAAGGTGGTTACTCTGTAGTGTCCTCTGGGAAGACCCTTGGGGACAGCCCTGGGACTGTGTTCTGCAGCTTAGCCTTCCTGTCTGGGTGGGGCTTCTCCTACTATGCAATTTTTCAAGAGCTCCTGGACCCTGCTTTCAGCTTCTTGAGTTGTCATTTGCTGTTGCAGGGACTTTGGTCTGGTCCCGGGGGTCTGCTTCAGTCCCATCTGAGGAAGGCCTTCAGGAAGAGGTCAAGTTTCCCTTCAGTACATCCCTGCCCCACCACTGTCCTTCTCCCCCAACATCTCTGGGAATCCATAACAAGTATGCCCATTGGGGCCAAGCCTGAACCCTTGGCCCCTGCGCTTGGAAACGCCTTTCTCCTGCCTGTGCAATTCGAGTTGCTGGCTCCTATTTCCAGGTTTGAGATTCCAGTCACATTGCTCTTGAGTCTTTGCAGAGAACACTGAAAGCAGGTGCATACAGGGGAAAATCCGCTCAGTCTGTGGACAAGGTGCCTCCCCTAGGTCAAGCAGGCGAGGCGGAAGGTGCATGGGACAGGGGGCTCTCCTGGGGCCCTCTTGCCTTGCTTGATGGGGCCATCCACACCGTTAGCATCTGAGCTTCTCCAGTTAGCTGCAAAGGGAAACAAGTAAACACCCCCAAAAAACAGGAAATGGCAAACAATGAAAGGATTAAAAGCACAGGGGGAAGAAGTGATTTCCAGAGGCCATAAATTGCTTGCCAGGGAACGATGGGGCTGACCCCCGATCTCTGGTGGACAGTCCATGTCTTGGTGAAACGGGTGACTGAGCTCGGAGTTGGGACCGGTTCAGTGAGGTTCTTGGGTTTTGTGCCTTTGGGGCAGACCCCGGACAAGGATGCCTGAGGCCACTTTGGTGCTGTTTTCCCAGCTCCGCTCCGGAAGTGACGTGCTCTGGAAGTGACGTATGAAACCCAAAGTGGAAGGAGGGGACTTGAGCAAGTCGTCATACAATAAAGGGATTTTTCTTTTCAGGGCTACTATGGTTGATCTTGCAACTCTGTACATATGTATGTAGACACTTTTAAAAGCACGTATTTATGTCCCTGACTGTAAATGCCCCATTTTTAAAGTTTTATAACATGTGTTATTTAATTAACCAGTCGACTGGCTACAACATGGGGTCTGATAATAGTCCGGGAGAGGAGTCTCATGAGATCCTCACATGGGCAGAAAAATGCTGATCATTGGCCACTATCACAGTTTTCCTGTCTCCCACCCAGCTCAACTCTGTCCTTTGTTTTTACTTCTCATGAACTGGAACCCTTTCTCGCGCTCCCACAATTAACCCTCACGAGCATGTAGGAGTCGTGGCTATTCCTTCTCTCAATGACACGGTTTTGACCCACAACTACTCACATTCATGGACTGCACCCCAGCCCCTCTGCTCCGAGGGGCTCCCCTCTCAGCAGCGGGGGAAGCTCACGAACCCAAAGCCTCAAGAGTCACCCCCGCCAATGGCGAACTGTGGGAGATGTTTCTGGGGTCTTGGGGGATACTCTCTTCTGCATGTGCAAAGGCGCCGGTCACCCTTCAGTACTCCGGGCCTGTCAGGAAAACTGTTCCAATCATGAGAAAGCGTGGAGGTCTTCCAGCGTGGGTTTGGATCACAGAAGAAGACCGTTTTGTATCTGCCATGTGAAGAAAACTAATAATAAAAGTGCAAAGAGCGATTGTAGGAACAGGTGTGGGTGTGATGATCATTTTGGTGTCTGTGATTTGTCCTCCCGCTGGTGGTTTCTGAGTCTGCACCGTGGGGCTCGGGTGGGCTTCCCTCCGGGTATGGGTATGGAAGGAACTGGGGACTTGAAGGAGATTCACTCTGGGTGTCCTGTCTGGTGCACAAGGCTGCTCTACTTCCAAGTCAGAAAATGAAGCTACTATACTAAGACCCCTCCTGTGATTAGAAGTGCATTCATGCCTTTGACCAGCCTTCTTGAGATTTAATTCACCTACCAACCAGATTCTCCACTGAAGTATACAGGTCAGGGGGGGATTTGTTTGCTTTTGCAGTGCTTGGTATCGCACCTAGTGCTCTACCACTAACGCACATTCCCTAGCCCCTTTTTATTTTTTTATTTTGAGAGAGTCTTGCTCACATGTACAGGCTGGGTGAGAGAATTTGTGATCTTCCTGCCTCAGCCTCCTGAGTAGCTGGGATTACAGGCACATGCCACGATGCCCAACTATTTGTGGTATTATGTTCAGAGCTATGTAGGCATCATTGCCATGGATGTCAGAACATTTTCATCACCCTCCAAGGAAACTGCATACCCATTAGCAGTCCTACTGTCCATTTCCCCCCAAATATCTAACTACAAATCTACTCTTCTGTCCCAGGGATTTGTCTGTTCTGTATACTTCATATAAGTGGAGCCATGTACTACATAACCTCTTGTGACTGGCATCTTTTACTTCACATACTGTCTCCTGGTTGTAGCATATATTGATAGTTTCCTTTTGAAGCCTAAATGTACCATTGACTGGACATACCACATTTCATCTGTCCGTTCTTCAGGCAATGGACTTTTGGACCATTGCCACTTTTTTTTACCGGTAGGGATAATTGTGCTGTGGACGTTTGTGTAGAAGTTTTTATGCAGACAGATTTTCTTGGGTATAAATGTAGAGGGAAAAGGCAGGTCATAAGGTCATTTTGTTATTGAATATTTTGAGGTACTACCAGACTTTTCCAGAGTGGCCCCATTATTCACATCCCCACAGCAGCACTCAAGGATTTCAGTTGCCCTGCATCTCTGTCAGCACTTGCGTTGTCTGTTTTAGCCATCCTGGGGATGTGCGTGCAGATGCATTCTATGAGAGCCCTGCCCATTTGCTGGTCACACATCCTCACAGAGTAGGGCACCACGGCCTGGAGAGGATGGGGACAAGAACTGCTGAATTGTGATGAGAAGTGAGCTACAAGCATTTTCTTGGCTTTGGGGGGCAAGGACCCATAGTAGGGTGCACAGTAGGAGGCCCCCAAATGTTCTTTGCTCCTGTCCAAATACTGCCTGAAAGTAGGAGGACAGGCACACAGTTCTGTGTTTTTACCTAAACACTTTCCCCAAAATGGAGACGAGATGGATTAGTCAGGGCTGACCAGAGAATCAGAACCAATGGGAGATTTATATGCATGGACAAAGGAGATCTCTCTGAGGAGCTGGCTCACCTGAGTACCAGCTCCAGGAAGCCCCGCAATCTGCCATCTGCTCGCTGGATCCCAGGAAGGCTCTCGGGTGCAGTCAGCCGGATCTGCAGGCTGAGCACCAAGGAGCTGGTGTTGCATATCCCATGCTCAGGGCAGAAGTGGGGAGGAAAGGGCCCAGCTCCACAGCTAGGCAGCAAAAGGGGCCCAGTCCCCTCCCTCCACCTGTGCTGTTCATCGTCTGGGGTGCAGGTGCTGCTGCATCTGGGAAGAAGCTCACAGACACACCTAGAAATGATGCTGCCCCTGGACCCCTGTCACCCACTCCAGGTGGCCCATGAGCTTGACTGTCAAGCCAGGCATGGTGGCACTCACCTGTAAACCTAGTACTTTGTAAGGCTGAGGCAGGAGGATTATAAACTTGAGCCCAAACTGGTTAACTTGGAGATTTCGTGAGACCTGGTGTCAAAATTTAAAAATAAAATTAAAAAAAAATTTTTTAAAATTAAAATTAAAAAGGGCTGGAGGGATGTAGTTCAGAGGGAAGGGCCTGGGTGCAATCCCCAGCATGGCGGAAAAATATTTAAAAGACCATCACACGTGACTTCCCACTTTCTAGAAACATCTACAAAGTGAAGGCAAATCTCATGAGGTAAGAGCCACGCAGCATTTGACCCTCCAGCACCGCTGACCACTGAGTCTGGGTAGGTGGCGGAGAATTTCACACAGGCCTGGCGGGGGCAGGGGGCTCAGGTGACAGAAGAGAGAGGGGCAGAGTGGAGGGAGGAGAAAGTGAATAATTTCAGAGGATGAAAAGAGCTGGTAAAGAGGCCAGTCCTGTGTATGTTGAGAGCATCACGGTATGAATCCAGGAGGGCTTCCTGGAGGCGAAGGGGACACAGGGGACCCTTGCAGACCTTGGTCAGTCTTCCTCACTAATCTCCACATGGGGCCTTAGAAAGATTCCTGCAGGGCCAGAAGTTTTCCTCGTCTAGCAGGTAGGTGGAACTGAAATGACCACACCGTCCACGTATAGGCCGCTTTTCAGCTTGGCCAGTCACTCGCACACAGGGTTCCAGCTCATCTAAAAAAGCTCCTGCGTGGCAGTACAGGTCCAGTGTCTCTGCACAAGAGAGTTCAACAAGCTGGTGACACGCAGGCCACCCCTGCACAGTGTCAGCCAAGACTGAGGCGCCGCTTACTGAGCCCTGCGACGTGCCGGGCGCCTCCCCCTTTCCCAGTGACCCTCCCGGGCGAGTATCTCCGAGCCACCTCCCAGACGGAATAGTTGGAGGCTCAGAGACATTAAATGCTGTGGCCAGGGTCACGGAGCGGTAGATGGGGGCAGGAACTGGACACAGACCTTCCAGGGCCACTAGCCCCCATTTCCTGTGCCACTCCCTCTACCTGCACCCTACTGGTTCCTCCCCAGGTTGAGCTGCCTTGCAGGTAGAAACATCATCACAAAGGTCCTTCCTTGCCCTAGCCCCAAACAGGGCAATTTGCAGCTGCGCTGTGGCTCCGCCTCAGGTATGCAGCTATACAGGAGGCCCCAGCATCTCACTGGCTGTGTGACCCTGAGCGGTGTGACCTCAGCTCAGTTCCTTGTTTGCCCAGGAGAATGATCCTCACTTCCACCTTCCTATGGCCCAGTGAGGACATGAATTAGCCACTGCTGTGTCTCCTCATGGTACGTTAAGTCACCTGTGCTAGGGTCACCTGGCTGCGTTACGAGATTCTTGGCCCCTCCCAAGGTACCTGTTGGTTCAGAACGGGAGGGGGCGGGGCCCCCTGGGTTGTCAGCAAGTTCTGCGTGTCCTGCAAAGTTTAATGTCCCTGAAGTTTGAGGATTATGGCCATGGCAATGATTGAAACAAGCATCCGGGCTCAGCCAGACAACACTGGCTCACGGTGAGAGCAGGGAGTGCGGGATGTGCGCTAAGCAGTGTGAACGGAGACGTGCATGTCACACTGTGCTGTGCTGGGTCACCTCTAGGAGAGGGGAGGCTGGCTCCAAACATGAGCACTTTCTGGGGGCTCCACAGAGCCTGCTCCCCTGGCCACTGCCTCTAGTGAGGTAACAAGGAGACAGGGAGCCCCTGTGGGCCCCTGGGATTTGTTAGATCCTGACGGGGACTGCAGTGGAGAATGTAGGGCTTAGGGGGCTCGACGATTGAGCAGACTGCTGAGTGACTGACACTGCTTGCGTGCACCAAGGGACCCAGAGGATCTGAGGCACTTCGCTCACCAAGTACCATCAGCTACAAGCTATGGCTGGAACTGAAGCTGGTGCAGGGCGGAGGGACCCAGCTCTGATGCTGCCCCTGCCAGCAGTGACCGTTCTCCCCGACGTGGAGGCACCGGGATGCCTGGCCGTTGCTCAGACAGGGGTGGGGTGGAGGAAGTGGGTGAGCCGAGTGCTTTCGGTTAAGGCCGATGCCCAAAGGAGCTTTGGGGCCACACAGCTGCTTAGCCAGAGACAGTGGAAAGTGGGTCTCTGAGACTCCCGTTCAGAGTCACGTCCCTGGGCTCTCTCTGCTCAGGAGAAGGAGACTTGGGATGGTCCCTGGGTGGAGGAAGGGAAGACACACAAAGTGCTGGGGGGGCGGGTTACTGTCCACCTCCCTCTAAGCTGCTGGGCCTGGGGTGTGTGGGACTCCACGTGGCCGGAGGACCAGAAGCTCATGGCTCTGTGGCCAGCTTAGCTGACCAGTTGGGAGCCCTGCTGGAACCCCGTGGTCCTGCAATGGGACCTGACCCAGACTCCGCCCCTTTGCTGGGAGCTGCCCGGCCAGCAGGAAAGCGGAGCGTGCAGCCTGTCCCAAAGGACAAAGCTCAAGGTAACACTTGCCTTTCCCGTTCCACTCTGTCTTCCATCTCCAGTAAGCAGGAGGTCAGCCCCCAGCAGCAGGTCGCACAGCAAGGACAGGCTGGGGCAGGTGCCAGGGCCACCCTAGTCACGTGACAGCAGTCAGCTGCCCTTCAGGCAGGGCCAGGGGGAGAGAGCTGGGGCTAGGAAGCATAAGCACAGGAGTCTGAGATCCAGGGGCCCATTCAGTTTTGCACCCTAAACGCCTAACTCATCACCCTTGGACCCAATCCTGGCAACTTAGGATGCCGGGTTTCTCTGGTCCCTAGGTCCTATCCATCATTCTACAAACTCAAGGGCCTTTCCACATGGGGACAGTAAAGCCCAGCTCCGCTTTGTGATTTGGCAGCCCCTCCGGCCCTAGCCATAGCAGCTTTTTCTTCTTCTGGAGCACATTAAGCTCTTCTGCCACAGGGCTTTTGCACATGCTACTACTTCTGCCTGCAGTGACTTCCTTTCCAGTGGCCACGTGACTCTCAGCTCAAATGTCGACTCAGCACCCGACTCTGACCAGTGGGCGAAAGTAGCCTGGCAGTCACTTCTGCCATTTGGGTGCTGGCTTTATTCTTAGCGCTCACCCCCACCGAGGGTTTTCTACTCACTCAGCCGCCCCAGAACAGAGTCCCATGAGAGCAAAGGGTCCATGCTGTACCCCACAGCCAGCA